CGCCCTCCTAGACACGGCCCGGCCCGGCCCGGCGGCGCGGCGCGCACATCCTGCCCACGCAGGCACATGTACATACACGCCCTTATGCACGGCCAGCCAGTACCACTTCTCCCACCCAGTACACGCCGGAGAAACTCTCGCAAATCCAAAGTTTGCAGAACGGGATTAAGCAGAGGGCAGGCTCGTCGCCTCTGCTCGCAAAGCCTCCGTGCAAAAGAAGCGAGCAGCACTGTGATAGCGACTCACGGGAGAACTCCTCTCTGTTTTTTTGTCGCTTTCTGAGATGATGATCTGCTAAATAAGCAGCTGCAATTCCACGGAGCCTCTTAAGATAAAACTTTATAAGAGCCCCGGCATCAGCTCCTGATCCTTTTATCAGTGGGGCTACTCACTTGAGTAAACCTCTGATTTTGCTTTCTATCTTCATAACGACTTCATTTCCCAGCATCCTGAACAAACATCAGCTTCTCTGTAGGAATTAGCTGAGGCTTCCCAGATGCTGTATACAATTAACCTGGTTACAAGTTTAGCAGTCTTAAGTACAGTACTTACCATTATTTCTCAAAGTGGCTGGGTATTCTTGCAAGTCCTGAGCATCTTAACCACATTCACTGGCTAAATAGGCTGAGCACAATAGGACTAAAATGTGGAACACTGATTTACATTTTAACCACACTGCAATGTTTGCCTTTTATATTTTTTCCCTTTTTACATTTTTAGGGGGGCAGAATAGTTTTTAAATATCAGTATTTTAAAATATAGATAGTTCATCACAAGGACTAATACATTCTAAATTCTTTCTTCCCCCCCCTTTTTTTTTTTCCTTCAGAATGCAAACAGCGTGTTCGGGCTTCATAAGAGTTCAGTGGTTGATTTTGTTGAAAACACATGACTGGTTGTTGGGGCAATGTATTATCTACTATTAGTTGGACCTATTTTACATTAGAAGACTTTTTCTCCTTTTTTTTTCTTTTGCTAAGTTCTTCTACCCTAAATTTGAATCAGATTTGAACTTAGCTTTCGTGAAATACCTATTCATGTCCCATGATAAAAAGAAAGTTATTGTCATGTCTATTCTCTGAAATTCATGGAAACAAAAAAGATGTCTGTGTATCTTTTTATATACATACAGAATTCATACACTTTTTTAAAAGATTTTAATGGAAGTATCTGTATGTCTTTAGTCATTTATAGCAAAGACATAGTGAACTATGGAAAGATTAGTTGAAAGAAAGCAAAGTTCAAAGGCCCCAATATCAGAAAAGCATTTTACCACCTTATAGAACATGGAGTTAGGCTATATGAAGATCATTGGTAAACAGCGTCCAGCTGCCGTAAAGCCATATTGTATTTTCAGTTACACTAACCGTGTTTGTTCATATGAGGTTGATGTTCCTGAAAGCAGCACTCGTTCTTGAATCATTACGTACTTGTGCAGAATTTTTGGTCATTATTGTCCAAATGCAATTACAATACTGTAATTCAAATACTCTGTCTGCTTGTAAAGCAGTAAAAGTTAACAACGGCTTTTTAAGCCAGAATTTTCCATTCACATCACTGGAGAATCTGCTCATAAATTGATGGCATCACGTGGCCAATGGAAAGTGGACTATACACGGACAGAAATATCTGGATAAATTATATTGTTCTTTAATAAAAAGAACAACAAACAAACATTTTTGCTCTAATTAAGTGCTAATCAGATTATTCCCTGAAAATTTTCTGAAAAATATCCCCTGATAAATTCCCTGAATATCCCCTGAAATATCCCCTGAAAAATATCCCCTGTCAATTTTCTTCAGAAAAGTTTTTCTATTTGCTTTTTAGTCAATAAAATTGTTTAATTTTTGGTCAAATAATATTCTGGGAAATTTTCCACCAGCTGTCAAGCAATTTGTTGGAATGATTTCTGTTTCATTATTCAACCAGCTTGAGGGTTTTCATTCCTGTGGTATTTGGCAGGGCAAATATTTTCAATACCTGCAACTGACCATCTTATTAACTGTGAAAAATTTCACTTGAACAATAATGAGTGTTCTGCCAAAGAATCACAGTAACTTATTCCAAAGTACATTACTCAATCAGAAATCTTGGGCAACATTCGTATGACCTTTGCTTGCTTTCAAAATGCAACATTAATGCATTTTTTTTTTTCATGTAGAAATCTCTATTGAGTAATATGGGTTAGTTTTTAAAAGATAACCCAAGAGTTTCAGCAAAATAATTATTATACTTCAGATAATAATATTCAAAGGGACTCACCTTGCAACCTTTACTCACATGAGTGCGTAACTCTTTCTTACGTAAGGACAACAAGGAGTACTTACATGCATAAGGGTTGCAGGGTTAACTCAAAGGCCCCCGATACAACAAAGCATTTAAGTGTAGGAATTACTTTTACTGTGCAGTGATGGAGTGCTGAATTGGGGCCATAACAGTTGCGGTGGCCAATGTTTCTGGAGTTAAACTATTTTGTCCTTTGTATTACAGTACTAAACTCCTACTTCATATTTTCAATACCAAATTAGGAAAATATTTGGAAAAAAAGGGATATGTGAGAAATGAGGAGGTAGAAATGTATTAAAACATGAATACAGGTTAGTAATCAAGACATTATTTACGGATAGCTCAGGCGGACTTCTCAAGGGTCAAGGAAAGCCGACAAAGAAACTAGGCTACTTGTACAGCCCATATGTTATTGGGATTCCTTACAATGAAATTGTTGCCATTGACACCAACGTTTTTCACAGAAGTTAATCTATTTGTCCAAACTCTCTCTAGGGAAGTAGCGCAGATACGGCGAGGAATTTCTGGACCGAAGCAGACACTAAAAGAGCTTCTCATCATAACACAACGCTATATAGAGAGACCATGGTGTTGTCTGATCCACAGTGATCCAAACTTAAACTTTGATCTATCACATCTGAGAGAGATGCCCTAACCACCTCTGGCTTGTCTGGGATACACACTCTTTTTTTTAAGTGCAACAACTTAGTTTCATTCCTATGGGGAGGAAAAAGAGGTTTCAAGATGTTTAAATTTTTCACGCAAAAGCATTTTTACTTCCCTAATAGCTCTCCACAGACTGCTTAGCAATCTGAAGGAGCTTCAGACATATGCAAAAGATTCTGAAAAGAGTAAGGTTTGGCCCTTGTGAAACTGGCAAAGCCTTTTGCAATTGCTTTCCGTTTGAATGATTGAACTAGTATTCCTCAAAGTTTAACAAACTGTGATGCAGCTTTAACCAAACAAAAAACAAATTTTGAAAAGACAGGAGCATGACTTTGTAATATATTACAGAAACACAGTTTACACCATTGTGTTTATATTTCCATTCCGAATCTGTTATTTAGGGGTATAAATCGTAGTCATAAAAATTTGTTCAGAACTGCAATGAGGCATAGAAATATATCCAACTTGCAAGTAGCTTTGGATAATTTTTAAATGACAGAAAGACTAGCAAAAAAAAGGTGACTCATTTTTGCACTTTTACAATTCATAAAAGTAACTCCCACTGTTTAGGCTGATAGCCTATATTGTTGAAGAGACTGCTTGTAGCACCTAAGTAGAAAATCAAATACGAAGTAACTTTTTCATTTCCTGCAGAGACAGAGACTGATGTATATTTACTGTTTTAAAAAAGCAAATGTTTGCATAATCATTTTTAGCATAGATTTTGGATAAAAATCAGTCTTGGTGAAAGATATTGCATCCCCTGATGACGTCAATAGAGAGACAGTTCTGCTCACCATGCCTTTTATATCTGTGTTTAGGAGCTAGATAAGCACAACACAATAGTGTCAGAGACATTCTTATAAACAATGAGGGGATAAGAAACTCTCAGGAGCTGGAATTATTTTTCTATTGCTGGATGGAGAAAATCCAGAGCGTGCCCTGTTTGCTAAAAGCATGTTTTTAATCATGCATCGGAACATGGCAAGAAACTTCTTCCTGGAACACTTATCTGGAAACACGGTGAGCGGCACTGATGATTATGACAGTTTCCAAAACACAGGACAGAGAGTGGAAGAGTGGTTCAGCATTAGGAAGCACAGTAGCATCCTCTTGGAGTTCCAGGCTCTCCCTTATTAGGGTAAGGGCAGAGTTTCTAAACCTCTGGAGAGCTGCCTCGAGAGGAATCCAGGAGAGGTTCCTGCTGGCACCCTTCCACCCCAGGAAAGGTGTAATGTGATCCTGTTCCCTTGAGGATACCTTCCATGTAGCAAGTTATAAAAGCTGTCATGCTGCACAGGCCGTGAAATGGCTGTAACTCTTCAGCGGGATACAAACCGGGGGAAAAAAAAAGCTTGGCTGAGCTCTATATATAACCTGTATGGGGTGGGAGACACTCCAGAATTCAGACTCAGAGGAGGAAAGAGACCACGGACAATTTTTTTCTTTTGATCCATGCAGTGACAAGTTGCCATTAGGTGATATCTTTCTTCATGTCAGTAAAGTTGCAACCATCTACCTGAAACATTCTAGGCTTTTTTCACACTTACTGGCCATTCTGAAGCATCAACAGCCTTTCCTTCTGTTCTGGTATTCATTTCTTATCAAGCTAGGC